AGTACACTGTTTGCCTAAGAGTAGAATGCAAGTAAGTGTTCAAAAAAGAGGGAACAAAGCCCAACTGGTTTGTTTTACATGGGATGGGATGTATGAAGAACACTGCTCTTGGGAAAGGGCTGCTTTTGATTATTTTTTTTTCTCACTATCAACCACATCATGAGGAACTCATTCACCTGCATATCTTCTAATGTGATCTATGCCATCATGTGCCAGCAATGCCCCTCTGCCATGTACATTTGCCGAGCTGGACAGTCTCTACACAAAAGAATAAATGGACACAAATCTGGCATCAAGAACGCTAACTTACAAAAACCAGTAGGAGAACATGTCAGTGTCCCTGGACAGATTTAAAAGTGGCCATCCTTCAACAAAAAAAACCCCTTCAAAACAGACTTCAAAGAGAAACTGTAGAGCTACAATTCATTTGCACACTTGGCACTATTAATCTGGGTTTGTATAGAGCATGAGAATGGCTGGCTCACTGTAAAAGCAATTTTCCTTGGCATTTCCTTCCTCTTGGTATTCACATTTCCTCCTCAACAGTTGGGAGTGGGTCACATCCACCCTGACTGAATTGGACTTGTTAGTGCTGGTCCTCTACTTGATAAGTAAATAGTTTCTTTTCATGTGGTAGTATATTTATTCCCGCTTCTGTAATTTTTACTCCAATGCATCTAACAAACTGGGTGTTTGTCCACGAAAGCTTATGCCCAAATAAATCTGTTAGTCTTTAAGGTGCCATGGAACTCCACATTGTTTTTGCAGATACAAACTAACACACTACCCTTCTGATACTTGCTGTATCTGAGTATCACTTTAGTAATACCAGTAGGACAAAAGCTATGTGGCTGGAAACCAGCAGACTCTGCCAACCCTCCGCATGGGCAATGGTAAACAAAATGTTTTGCAGTCCACACATAGAACCTCGTGGGCTGGGTTGCCCACCACTTTACTATGGTCACCCTTTGCTGGAGCAGTCCATCAGGTCATCCTGAGAACAAGAATGTAGAAGCAAGAAGCAGTGCATAAGTCCCAGGACAATACCATCAAGCAGCCTTCAACTGCAGATTACAAAGCTGCTCAGTATTAAATTGTCTGGGTGGGATATCAACTGTCATTGTTGCGAGATGCTTAAAGAGGTAGATGCTTGTATACCAGCAGATGCCATCATGTTCCAGCTCTTCAGTTGCCTTTGTGGAGAGACTTTGTGACCTCAAGCTTGCTATGAAATTTATGTAGACCCATGGTTATATTGTTCCTCCATTCCTCAGTCTGTCTGGGGAGTACAGGGAGCAGACAAGCCTGCACCTGCTGTACTTGCTGGAGCTGCAGCAGCCATGGAGAGGTGCTTCTCACCCAGCCCTAAGCTACTGCAGTGAGAGAGGCTGGGGTAGTCCTCTATCCCTGTGAAATCTTGCATACTGAATCCCTATCTCCAGCCCCACACCAGAGCAATGCTTTAAACGAAGAAAAACAAAAATTAATCGAGTTAGTGAACTAAGCAACACTGGGTAAATCTAGTATATTTCTAAAATAAATTAATTGGAAAGCATTGTACTTACATTTCAATATAATGTGTAGAGAGCAGTATAAACAAGTCCTCTGTGTAATTTTAGTTTGTATGTAATTTGCTAGTATGTCTATATAGTCAAAAATAAAAAAGGGTATGTTCTTAACGTAGTTTAGCTGTCTCAGGTTATAATACCAGTGAAGGCATAGCAATTTGGCTTTTAATCTGGGTTAGCATCTTGAATTAAAACCTATAGAAGAGCCTGAGGATGAACTCAGTCTGCTAATCTGAGTTACTACTATTTTAACTGTGGTAACTAATCTGTGTTAAGAATACACTTTTTTCGCAGTGTATGCATATCCTCAGTTACAAAAATCTCCTTAATGTCTAAATTGTATAAGCACTGAAAAAATCCATTGCAATGTGGAATTGATCTCTAAGGAGCAGATATAGCTGAATGATCAGCTCAAATTAACTTAAATGTTGCTCTGGGCAACAGTATTGTAAACAAATTAATTGTTTTAACCATTAATCCTTTTCAGGGTCTTGTTTGCCCTCAGTTTTGTTTAAACTGTACATGTGGCCTACATTAAGTATCACAATGACTGCATTGTGAAGCTTGTTCCACGCTTTACTTGTTCTCGGTATATTTTAAAAGAGATTGTAACAGATTAGTTCTTTGATCTTTCCACAGTTCTCATTTGTTACATTCACACCAAGCATGAAGCTTCTCAGAGATCTCCTTTGTCAATAGTTACAGCCCTGGTAGATAAAATAGGTAAGTGATCATTTAATCAACTAAAAATCATGGTCTATTGTATTAGCACTTAGAAATTAGCTGCTTATCGCCAGCAGAAACTGGTTTTTTTTCTTCCTCTTTTGTTTGTGAAATTGTTTGGCACTAATTCTGATACCTTGCATTTTCTCTTAGATACTATTTTGCCTTTTCTGATGCTTTTCTTTGCAAACACTAAATATTTCATGTTTCATGTGCTTCTGTATTCAATTTTGCATCGATCAAGTCAATCTCCTAGATATTGACAAGCCAGTGTTTCATGTCTTCTGAGAAGGAGGCTTATAGGTTCAGCTTTGATTTTGTACAATATGTAACCAAGCACATTAATGATACTTAAAAATAATAATGTAACTCTTTGCCAACTACATCTTTTTTAAATTAAGATGACTGAAAAGTGACACCAACCGTGTGTCTGTAAGTCCCTTGTTGATGATTCTAAACCAGAGCTAATCTTGGTTTTAATACCACATAGCTGCCATAGAATCAATTTATTGTGTGAACAGGAAACATCATGGCCCTGATTCTTTGCCACGTTGGTCTGCAGGGAACCAATTTATAGGGATATAGGGTCCCTAATGGAAAAACAATTACACCAGTGGAGGATGGTTTGTAGTGGAACTTTACTGTAATCTGTCATGCTTCTTTCTTCTGTGTGCTGCCCAAACCTGCTTCTTCCCTTGAGGTTAGGAGGAGAGTGGCTTATATAGAAGCTGGTTGAGCTGCCTCCGCCAGCAGAGAGTTTCTGTTTACTGGGTACAATATTGATTGGCTGTCTCTGGCTGCTTTAAGGCCACTTTGTGAATTTCAGACTCTGGCTTTTTAAATACTAAACTTCAGTTATTTTGCTCTAACACAATGTCATGTATATTCTAGATTTGTGCAAGAAGGTCATATACCCAGATTGTGATATCAAATTCACTGGAAATGTTTCTTGGGTTGGGAAGACCTCAATGGAAGTGAAGATGCACATGCTTCAGGCTGGGGTCAGTGACCTGTTTCTTCTATAGCAGAATACTCTCAATTTCTCCCAAGATATCTTCAACACTTCAGAAGAAATTATGAGTGATAACGTTAGAAACCTAAATTGCACTGTGGGTATCATCTGTTTTAGAAGGTCTGCCAACCCCTGTGCTTCAGAACCTAAATGATTATCAGTGGTCTGAGATTAGGAATATAGTTCCCTGTTCTCTCTTCTCCAAAGCATAGTTGTTTATGGCAGGTGTATTTATATCTTCTACAGAAAGATCTGATAGCATTGGAGACAAGTTGGACCATTGGTCTCATGCAGCTTGGCAGTCTCTAAGCCTTCATTTTCTCCTCAGACAAAGGGGTTCTCCTTCCTTTCTGGAAATGTGTTCTTTATTTTAACATCAAAAGATGTCCATATTAGAGTGTCAGAGTTTGATGTTGAAATGAGATATTGAAAACTCAAATGAGATGTTGAAACTTAGGGTTGGAAGAGACTTCTTGAGGTCATCTAGTCCACTTTCACCCTCCTCTGGCGAATTGAGGATGGAGTAAACCTTGATCATTCCTGACAGGTGTTTGTCTAACCCATTCTTGGGAAGGGAATTTCACAACCTCCCTGAGAAGTTTATTCCAGAGCTTAACTACCCTGGTAGTTAGAAAGTTGTTCCTGATATCTCATCTAAATATCTCTTGCTTCATGTTATGCCCATTACTACTTGTCCTATCTTCAGTTGACATGGAGAACAATTCATCACCATCCTCTTTGTAACTGCCTAGAAAGGGAGGGTAGTTTTTTAAGTTAAGGGCCAGTGTTGGCACAAGAACAAAGGGATATAAACCTGCCATCAGTTAGTTTAGTCTTTAATAATTAGAAGCCATCTAATTTTGAGGAGTGATGTTCTGGAACAGTTTTCCAAGGTAAGTAGTGGGAACAAAAATTCCAATTTGTTTAAAGATAAGATTAGTAGATTTACAGAGGGATGGCGTGATGAGATGGCCTAAGCCATTGTAGATAAGGACTACACTAGATCCCACAGCTTGGCTTATGGTATGCAACTCCAGCTACATAGAATGCATAACTGGAGTTGGCTTTCCTTAAGTCGAGCTTGGTGGCATCCCCACAGCAGGAGGCCGATGGGAGCATTTGCTCTTCTCGGCTTCTCTGACCTTGCAAAGGCAGGAGTACTAGATGCCGGCAGGGTCATCCTCTGAGTTGGATTTAGCAAGTTTTAACTAGACTTGCTAATTCAAACTCCAGAAGCTCAATTGCAGCAGTGGCAATCTTCCTTTTAATGTAGACAAGGTCCCATTCTTTTTCAGATGGCTGGTTGGTGGGTCTTGCCCATGTGCACAGCGTTTAACAGATAACTATATTTAGGGTTAGGAGGACATTTTTCCCATGGTTAGAGACTATGGGATATTTCGTATCCCTCTGTAGTGTGGGAGTGGTTTGAACTGGAGGCAAGGCTGGATTCTATGTAATTTGAAGTCTTTAAATCAAAATTTGATGGCTTCGGTAACTCCAGTCCATAACTTTTGGCTATCTCGGTTATGTGTGGATGTGGACTGCAATGTACAGGATGTCCAACTGGATGATTCTGATAGTCCCCTCTGGCCTTGAAGCCTCTGAGTCTGTGGATGAGAAGGTAGTGTATTTCATCTCTTTATAATAGCACTTAACATATTTGAAAACTACTATTAGGTCCTGCCCCCTCTGTCCTTTTTTTTTTTTTTTTTTTTTTTTTTTAAAGACTAAGCATGTCAGTTTTTAACCATTCCTCAAAGGTCAGGTTTCGTAACCCTTATTTTTATTGCTTTTCTCTGTTCTCCCTGGTTTGCCCACATCTTTCTTAAAGTGTGGTGTCCAAAATTTGATAAAGTAGTCTCACAGTGCTAACTAGAGTGGGACATATACCTCCCATGTTTCTGTATATGACTTTCCCATTAATACCCCCCCAGAATTATATTAGCCATTTTTCTAAGTGCATATCACAATGTTGATTTGTATTCATTTTGTGATGCATTACAATTCCCCAGATCCTTTTCAGCAGCACCACTACCTGGCCTTAATTATTCCTCTTTTTGTAGCTGTAGAGTTGATTTTCCTCTCTACCGCTTCCTAAATGAATTATTTTGCACTTGCCTTTATTGAATGTCATCTTGTCGATTTCAGATCAGTTTTTCCAAGGTGTTACGTTGATATCTTCTAGTGTGTAAATCAACTTGGCTTTTTAGCACTGTAAGGGTACATCTAGACTATTGCTATTTTGGGATACTTCCACTATCCCGAAATAGCAATGCCGCATCTTTAAAAGCACCTGGTATTTCTCAAAATGATGGGCGCACTATTCTGATGTCCCTGTAATCTTTGTTTCAGAAAGGTTAAGGGATTTGTCAGAATAGTGCCTTATTTTGAAATTTGGTGCGTCTACACAGTTGCAAATTTCAAAATAAGCTCTTTCGAGCTAGACTCGGAATAAGCTATGCAGTTTGCATAGTACAAATTTCGTAGCTTGTTCCAACAGAAGGGTGCTGTCTAGATGGACGCACCCTAAGAGAGAATTCATGAATGTCCCTGGAAACAAATGAAGGCCTGTGATTAAATAAGATACTTTAATTGGAGTACAGTTGGTCTACAAAAATATACATGGTTAAATAATGGACAAATTATTTACTAAAAACGTGTGCCACTGCTGAATAGTTGCATTGCAGTTCTGCTGAAACAGAGTACAGTAAAACTCCGATGGTCCGGCACTCCTGATGGTCCGGCACCATCAGGAACCCGGAAGTGCTCTGGGCAGCTGGACCATTGGAGCTGCTCTGCCCCCAGCTTCCCTAATTCAGCCGCTGCTAAAACTGACCAGCGGCTGAATCGGGGGAGGCAAGGGCAGAGCAACCGGAGTGCAG